TCTTGTTTGTAATAGTTATAAGAGGTCTCTCGACATAAAACACCACGATTACAGTTCCCTCAGCGATCTGTATTTGGTACATGTGGCTGATTTATTTTTCCTTCGGGTGCTTTTTTCCCTTTGTTGTATCTCCTCGCAAACGTTCGCCTCCACAAACATCATTTTCTATCGAAGTCTTTGAGAACGACGTGCACAGCTTACGTTCAGCTTGGAAAAATTTGCAAAGGGAAAGCCTTGCGGAATAAAATGGAAAATGGAAACCACTAGTACAGCTTGGTAACATTTAACAAAACTGCTTTATTACCAAATAGTTACATGTGACGTCACAAGGTTAATGCTTTGAAAATCAGCTGCTTACTGCCAATTTAAACATGCTCAGTCTGGTCCAAAATGCCGTATCAGGACTAATAACCATCTGATTACTTCAAATTTGCGAGACCAGCGGATATGTGTGCGCCATGTAAGTGTCATCAGTGTGAACTCCAAGGGATCAACAGTCGATTTCATTTTCAAGTGGAACTTTGATTTTGACAACAAAGTCAGACAGCCAAGCAATAGGAATAAATTCTAACGATACGAATGAACTTCCGACGAACTTCTGTACTATCAAGTCTACCAACTGATCCTGAGACATGTCAACACGTATGAGATTTGTAATTATTCTACATGTAAGATAACAATCGTTAAGTGTCTCCTTACAAAATTTGACACAAATCATAACATCATATAAATTGCTATATACAAGAGACCCTCTGTCGAAGCAAGTGAGCAGATTGCAACTGTTGTACTTCCTATTTACAATTCTTAGCTAAAGCGGGACTAGGTTACGATGAGCAAATACAAAAAACGATCGCAAATCATAGTTCAACATGAACAACGCGAAAAAAATATATTATACAGAAATCCTAATTACGCCTCTGGAGGCATTTCCTTTCTGTAAAAGAACAATAAAGTAATATTTTACAGTACTATTTAAAGGCACTGATACAAGGTTATGAATTCCTACAGCACTTAGTTAACATAACCTCGTCAGTTCACTTTTGTGGCATATTTCGCTTGTTCAACTCACGTTCCTGCTAATGGGGTGTTGTATTATTTGGAGAGAAGGTTATACCATTGGCAACGGGCCCTTGAAGGTTGAAACTAACCACAAAGTAGACCAACTGTCCTATGGTGAAGTCTCTGTCCACCTTGCCAATATCTGCGTTCTTACCAACGTAGAGGTCCACTTTCCCTTGTACCAGCTCGATGTAAGGATACGTTTTTCCTCGATCGGAAGATGGCCCTTGACGGATCCTTCCTTTGCACTCAAGCAACTTCTTTCTACTATCCATCAACCAGAACTTTGTTACTTTTTCTGAAATGTCAGGGGAGTAGTCAGTTTCTCCACGGAACAACGTGTTGCGAGTAACCAAACGAGACATTCCCTCCCCTTCTTTGCTCACAAACAATGTTGACTGACTACTGCGACAGTGGTTCTGTGACTTCTCTCGGCACATTTTCAACGCTTTCAAGTATTTCGGCATGAATTCCATCGCATGCCCATCAAGAATCTTTAGAAAGCAAATTGCCATGCGGTAGAAGTAAGGAAGACAATCATGATGCGAGGCTTCTAACCACTTTTCACATACATTGAGACCTTGTTCCAGGGTGTAACCTTGTGGTCCGGTCACCAGTACACAGACCTTCATTAAATGGTAGGCTAAACGATGTTCATTCTCCTTAAGTACAAGTTCTTCCAAAAGTTTCAACAAAAATTCGAGATGTCCTTGCTTTAAGGAGTCGATTTGATCACTGGAATTCAAAATAAATTGAGCTTGTAGTCTTTTCAGCTCTAATGCGGATGACTTTGGAAAATTTTTGGCGCTACAAAGTGCCTTGCAAGCTTGAACGACATCCTCTGCATCACGACCACGTCCGGTTGAAGAAGGCCCTGTTCCAAACGTTTTCATCAAAGATAACCTGGCATCGTTGCACTTTCTTTGTGTTTCTTCTGGATCTTGCAGGCTTGGTACACTTTGCACAATTCCATCCACAATGTCGAGAAGATAAAAGGAATCACTGACACAAGTGCGAAAGAATGGAGGACACTGGTTGGCTAGATACTTCAGAGTTCTCTCAGAATCACGGCCGCACTTGTTCTTCATGATCCACCCGATACATGCTTGCCAAACGTCTACCTCACCAATCAGAGGATTGGGGTACGTCGGAGGAAAGTTGCGAGCTTCTTTGTACGCCTCCAGCACCCTATTTGCCAGTTCTTCAAGTGTTGTCAGATCTCTTACCTTGCCACTATTTATATTGTGTTTAAATTCAAAATACAGAACAACCCCTTTCGTATGGCAAATGCTTCTGAATTTCTGTTTGATGTTGCTTGCTTCAAAAGCCTGTTCAATGAGCTCCATCGCTTTTTGAAAAGAGGGAGGCTCCATCTTGGCGAAAAATCTCGCGGCACTGGCAAATATGATTGAATCACCAGTCTTTGCGGCTGCCTCGCAAAAAACCTCTGCAGCACGTTCCGGGCTTATGGCTTTAAGTTCTTCAAAGAGAACTGAAAATTTCCTCTTCCACTGACCTTCTCTGTTGTAGACAAAGAGCTCTTCGAAAAGTGACAAGAAGTCGTCGCGCTGATAAATTGGAAACTGGAGGAATTGGCTAACCACTTGAAATAGGTCACAGCCTTGCTCCTGAAGACACTTTTTCAGCAACATCTCAGCAACCACACGATGCTGGAACGTATAACTTTGAGGTGACGATTCTGTCAAGTGATACATTCTTCCTCGACGCAGCCAAGGGTTTGAAGGAACCAACAGGTTTAGTAGGTGCTCTGAGAACAACTGCTTGATGTCCTTGTAAGTGACGTTTTGGCCATCTTCAAGACGGATATACCTCTGAAAGGCATCATACAGGAGGAGGGCTGGAGTTGGCTGGTTCGCATACTTCTGAAAGAACGCTACCACAACGGCAATTTCTTGTTGGAGACTCTTCATCTCATTCCAGGTGTCGTCAATTATCTTCTTGAGCTTTGGACGAAAAGTTTGCATCATTGCAAGGAGTGGAAAATGAAACACACGGCATGCCCCTGAAACTGTCGTCTCACCTAATGACCTCTCGATGTACTCCTTGTATTTCGACTGGAATTCGTTTAGATCAGCGACTGAATCTTCAAGCTTGACATCTACATAGAAAACTTTGTGAATACGCGATGGCTCTTCACTTTCTTTTGATGAGGACTTCGAGCCGTGTTGGCAACGTAACAGGAGGGCTCGTCGACCTCTGTTACACAGCATCCGAACAAGTTTGTTTGATAGACCTTCCGTTACCCTTGATTGCTTTCCATCTACGAGAATAACAGGGGATGTGTGGCATATCTCCTCTAATGCAGCAATCCTGTCAGCTAGTTTGCTGGCGTAGCTGTTGTCTTCATCAAAGTAGAGATGTGAGCTCATCTCTATGAACGCACAGGGGTAAGCTTTGTGGAGATCCCACATCACCCGTCGAGCAATGGTAGTACCACCAGTGCCTGGCGAATGCTTGATTTCCACCGTCATTGAGCGTGTAAGCCCTTTGTCTAGGAGGCGCTGGACATGGATCTGGATGTCCTTCTCAATTTCCCGCTTAGCATCATGATTGTCATAGAGGCTTGCGAATGAAATTTCGTTGCCGGACATGAATAACCTCCTGTGCTCATTGAGGAAATTCTTCAGTTGTGCATCTTCCTCCGACGGGTCGTTTGAGACTTCTGGTAATTCTTCGCAGCCTTCGTAGAGGATTTCTAGATGTTCCCTTAAGTAAAGGTACTCCTTCTCACTTAGGTCTACAGGAACCTTGGCCTGGGAGGTGGGCATCCGATACCGCTGAGATGATGATGAACTGAGCATTTCTTTCAGACCCAGATGCACAAGTTCTGGACTTAGATCAACTCTGCGCACTTTGACCTTTCCAAAAACGGAAAGGGGTTTCTGCTGCTTAAAAGACACAGTTTTTAAATTGAACTGGTCGTCAAAGTTCTCAAACAGTCGGCTAAGTGTTACTTCTAGAAACGGAGAACTTTCTTGTCGAAGTGGAAGAATTAGACACACAACCGGCTTCTGCTTGTCGAACTTGTCTGGATCACAACAACAACCAAAAAATCTCGAAATTTCTTTCACTGAGGTTGCCTCCCAATCGGAAAATGTCGGTAACTTTCCAGCTGTGTCACTAGATCTTCCATTGACAAACAACCATTGGATTTTATTAGGATCAATCTGACGTGCCAGGCCGACCATTGTACTTCCTTTTACCTCTGCTGGCGTTATCATGCTGATTAAGCTACCTTGTCCTTCTTGTGAAGTGAACGAGTGGTAGAAACCTTTTTCTTCTGACATGGGATCGAAATCTAAGACCATCTTCCAGGCTACCCTTCTCAAAATGGAAAAGCGCTTTTGATTATCTGGTGAGAGAGCATCAGTAACAAGAATATACTGGTTCTTCCGCGTATCAAAATCTCCCACCGCGTCACAAAACCTTAGCCATTCATCCCAGTTTGGACCGCTCAAATCTTTTGGACTTACTGGAGCTTTATTGGTAAAATCAGATGATTTATTGGCTATCATTTCAGTAATGACGTCCAATTTTTTTTCCATCGACTCCAACTTTGTTCCAAAAGGGAGGCGATTAGCTTGCTCTGTCAAGAACAACTGCTTGTAGTACCCTCCAGCGTGCAGGTCTTTATCTGGAGAGAGAAATTTAACGACACTATAAATAAGAAGTAAGCTGATAAATACGTAACACGTCTCTTAACTAATTTAGCCAATGGTTTATGTTAAAACAATGGCTGCTCACTCTCAGTTTCTTGCAACTTTGAAACTTGGCTTGGGCTGTTTCCCCTTGCCAGCTACCTTCCGACAAAAACCACGAGCTCGCTGTGAAAATTGTTCAGTGAAATACTTATATTTTCTTTCTTAAATGACTCTTATCCACCTTGCGAGGTAATTTTAGCGGGTACCTGACTGAAGCTTTATTTCGGCAATGTCATCTGGATCAGCTCCAAGTGCAATGAAGTTGTTTTCTAACAACAGCCAAAAGTGGTTGAAATCTGCATCAGACATCATTTCTGTGGAAGGATGTCCCAACAGTTTGTTCCGGTGCTTCTTCAATTCCTGCAGGGCAGTGTTATAGCCAGGTCTTTTGCTGATCTCCAAGGCACAACTCTTTGAGTAGAGAAGTACAGTTGTCATTAAGGAGAAGTCCCATTCATTTATATTTCCATTGTTGAAAATAACTTCTTCATCTCTGCTGAGCTTCATCTTCCATTTGTCAAACCCAGCTGCATCAGAGGGCTGATTGGACCAAGTGGGGTTGATACCCATGAAAAGCGTCCTAAGAGCTCGAAGGCCAACTCCGTAAATTAGCTTGAAAATGCGCAGTATGTTCCTCCTGAAAACAGATGACAAGTATATTTTTAATATCATACTATTTATATAGTGATACAGCAGTCAACGGGAGAATGTGTTTACTTATTCCCAGACATAAAAATTAGGTGCTCTTAGTAATACATAAAACCTATCAAGAATTAATCAACCACTACGGATATCAAGCCAGTAATCACGTTTCAAATTAAAGTCATTCAATGAGCCTCATCAAGTCAGCCGGTTACTATCTCATGATAATGAGACCTGCTATGTAACATTAAACAACACACCAGCAATCGGCATGCTTTACAGCTGTTTCGAAACTACAACGTTTTGGGGGCCAGTTCGCCAAATGGTAGTATTAAAAATTCAAGCAAAATTTAAGTCTCAATGAATGCATAATCTTGTACGGCTAGCCCTCGCGTTCAGATTTTGACAGCTTCCTAACAGGACTAAGAACAAACCTTAACAATTTACTACCAAGAAACCAGACTTACTGTAAAATCGTTATATAAAATACATAAAATAAAGCAGTGTTTCCGCCAGAGCGCGCCATTGCCGGAATCCCGCGTTGCAATCAGAGATGGCCC